TCAGAGAATATATTTAAGATGGAAGAGTCAAACATACGATATCGCCTTTTCCACCACACAACCCACTATGTGATGAGAGAGTAGAGATTTATCAGTACTGCCTCATAAATATTACCTTAAGAAGGCTCAAAATAAAAGACAGAATTCATGAACTACCTCTGTTACGGAGACACAAATCTCACCAGAAAGCACTTTAATATTCAAATATTACCAGATACATAAATATATAATACATTTTATTATTAATAACTTATAACTGTCAAAAAAAAAATAAAAAAAGATTGGATACTAATTGTTAATAAAATTATATAGAGGAGGAGTCTTGTTGGCAAGTAAGTATCTGTATTTCTCTCAATGGTATCCAATCCTCTATCTTCATTGTTCGAGCTTTTAAATTATATTAATTTTACGAGAGTAGGGTCCTACTCACACGGATTAGACTTCACTTGACTATTGACCAACCTTCCGTTCATACTTGTTAAGAATCAAACATCATAACAATTTTTTAAAAAATACTAATTAAGTGAGTTAATCTGATATATTCTAAGGGTATTCAATATAGAAAAAAATACATAACAAGCAATTATTAAGGGGCGTGATGAGAACAGACACACTTTTTATAGTATAAGTTTAAAGTTACTCCGCAATACTATCTTAAAATTTGTGCATAGTTATTAGGGCATTTAATAGATCCAGACACTCCATAAATTAATAAAAATTAAAGCCTATACTATCAAAATTTAAATAATGCTCAATGAATTGATTGAATATTTTAAGGGCGACTTAAATATGAATATAGACAAATTCTGCAACTCCACATCTAATTTTATAAAGTTGTTATATCTCTTGTATATTTTAACATAATTTTTTAGTTTTACTTGTCATGTGATCAGGTCAAAATTGTATCCTTCTTGATAATATATTAAGAAAATAAGCTCTATAATATATTATTTGATGAGAGTGGTTATGAGAAGAGTGCTCATCTAATTTATATTACAAATAATGAGATTGTGGAATCATTCCCACTAAAACACAAGTATCTTTTATCCATGATTGTAATATTTTTTTTAACAGTGGTGTCCAGTGAAGGCGTACATGACGACTGCTTTTTGAGAAGAATTATAATGCTCATTTAATATAGAGTGTAGAGAATCTCTTGGTTACTGGTTTTCGTGTGATTGGGATTAATTTCAGACATCACTTCTCTGTCTTTCTTTCTCGTCTTTTTATGGATTCTCTAGTGGAAATTAAAAAATCTTGATTTCACAGTCCATTGTACTACGGTTCGCTGCAATATGACAACTTGGAGAGTGTGACAGCCGAAGGTTCGCTTTTTGGTCTGCGGGAACACCGGCTTCTGTCGCTGAAAGTGTGAAGGGTTGAATCTGGGACGTGGGATTAGCTAAGGCGAGGGTTTCGTACCTCTAATGCCAACACTCAGTGTTGTTAATTTTAAAAAAGGGGCAGAGTATATTAAATGTTAAAGCAATGGAACATGGAAAGGTGGGAAATTCTACCCATTGCCACGAACAAAACTACGCGACAATCCGACGATAAACCCTCATGGAAAAACAATGGACGAACCACTATTTTCTTCTTTAAGACGACATCAAAACAAACCCTTGGAGAGGGCTCCACAAAACAAAGAGGGAATTAAATTGGGTTTATGGGAATACAAAAGCTCAAAGAAACGCCCAAAGCGACTTGCGGGAATCCAAGGCTATCTCATAAGCCGAAATACCGAACAG